TTTACATAAGAAACCACCTTCTGCGCATTAACAAAAAGTTTTCCTTGAGCGATTTTGCTACTAGGACCCCTTCTCTCTATCCCTAAAATAATCCTTACCCTAACATAAATGAACTTTAAAGAATTTTTCGAATATCATGTGACTGCAACATTTTCAGGCGATACTGGGGAAGATCCTTATCGACACAGCAGATGATCTACATGAGTACCCCAATTTTGACCAATCAAATCACGGGGTACATATTATAGGTAACGTGAATAACAAAATTTGAGAGTTGAAGTTTGAAAAATTCAAAAACGTCAAACATTTTTTCAAACCTTAAACGAAGGTATCTTGACAACCACCAAGCTAAATTCGATGAGTTTTTTTTTTATAAAAAATCATCAAATTTGACTTGTTATTTGTCGAGATAACTTTGCTTAAAGTTTGACAAAATTCAAAAACGTCCACCAAAATAGAAGCTGCGCCAAACATTTTTTTTAAAATTCTACGAAGATATCTTGACAACCACCAAGTCAAGTTCGATTAACTTTCATTATTTGTGATCTACAAGTTTGTAGAATTTAATTAAAAAAAGTTCATCGAATTTAACTTGGCAGTTGTTAAGATATTTTCGTTCAAAGTTTTAAAAAATGTTTGTCACAGCTTCTATTTTGATGAATGATTTTGAATTTTGTCAAACTTTGAGTGGAGATATCTTAACAATTAAAAAGTCAAATTTAATGAATTTATTTTATTTTAATTCTATAAATGCGTAGAATTAAAATAAAAAAAAGCTCATCGAATTTGACCAGGTATTATTAAAAAAATACGCATAATATATATTCCGTAATTTGATTGGTCAAAATTGGGGTATTCATGTCTATCATCTGCTGTGTCGATAAGGAGATAAATCACATATTGCTGTGTCGGTAGTTATCCCCTAAATCGCCACCCAAATTTTTTTCAAAATTATGTGATACACATATCATGTGATCTGACATATGCAATAATCTAATGCTAATAGATACCAATACACGGCTCAGAAAAAACTTTACATAAGTTATATATAAAAAATGCAAGTTGAAAATTTATTAGCATGCTTTGCAATAGCCAACTCACCTTTTTTATTTAGCAACTTTATAACTGACGCTAAATATATACATATATTACAAAATCCTAACACATTGTTTTGATTTTATTCAGAAATTATTTGAAAGTGCATTATCTCTTATTAAAATTGTTAGCGAAGATTATACATAACCCAACTTCAATTATTGTAAATTTCTTTGTTGCATCAATTTTAGTATCTGTTTTTAATTAAATTAAATATATACTGTAGCTCTTTTCAAAAATAAATAAATCATAAATAAATACTTTACCTTACAATTGCATAATTATGGATATTCAAACTCATGCTATCAAGTATTTAAATTAAATTAATTAAGTGTTCAGTATATTGTATTTGAGAGCTTTATGGCATATCTGAATTGTATACATACAAATACTACAAAAAATATTTGAATTGAATTACAAATATTTAATAATTTAAGAAATGTTTTATAAATTTTTTATAAACAATATGTTTCAAAAAGTATAACCTAACTATAGAAAATATTTTCACAACCAAAATGTATTGCTGTTATGATTTCAGGTTTGTGGCGTATTTCTTTGTCGTTTAAATTGATTGTAATCCTCTACAAATTTTCGAAGTGGATTAAAAGTTTTATCATATTGTTTAGCCAATTATTACAATTCAGATTTGTAATATTTTCATTAAGAATTTTTTTGGTTGTATCTTGCAATTCAAATATTTCTTGCTTTCAATTTTGAAATAGAATAAGTTCATGATCATCAGTAATATCAATTATTTCTTCATCCAAATTAATATTTTCTTTGTTTTCTTGAATAGAAGCTTCTTGAGAATTGACTTGTGTATTATGAATAGACGTTTCTTGAGAATTGCCTTGTGTAGTATGGATGAATATTTCTTGAGAATTGACTCATGCATAATAATTAATTGATTGATTTACTTCGAAATTAAGATTTGCGACCACAGTAAATAGATCCTTTGGTAAGTTAGAAAATACTTTGTTTTTTTCAATTGCTAATAATGGATATGATTCCTGATGTACAACCTTATAAAATTAAAGTTAATAATATAAAATAAGCATGGTTACTATAAATAAATAGCTAATAATTGTAATGCACTTCAGTTTTAAAAAATCTAGGTTCCACAGGGCTATGCATTTTTACCAAATGTTTACAAATATAAAAATGGCTCAAAAGAAAACTAGGACATGAACAAACCCAGTTTGAAAGATTAGTAATCTATTTAGGATTATTACTAATTGTTTTAACCACCAATTTTTTCCATTCTAATCAAAAATCTTTATGCCATCTTGTCATGCATCAATTATTATGTAATAATTGTAATTGGTCAATTTGGTGTAAAATAACTTTAGTAACAATTATGTAAATAATTAAGTCTAAGCGTGCATGATTGAAGCTTGAAAAGAAATCATGCTTCAAACCTCTCCAATAGCTTTCAATAGCCATGGTGCTTCGTAAGATGTTAATTTTTTCATTTGATGCATGTGTCCAAAGTTTCCACATGTCTGGGTGATACTATTCAGCCTACAAGTATGCCCAAACATGTGCTAAGTTATTATTATGACAATATTCAAATTGTTCTTTTACATATTTAATCTATATTTCATTAGCATTCAAGTAATTCGGTTGATCTTCAGTTGGTATCATTGGGTGCCGAAAAAAATGAATACAAATTAATTGAAGAATTTTTTCACAATAGTTTTTTTGACAAAAAACTTTATTATTAAGCGATGATTGCTCTATATTAGTCAAATTTTGTTGAATTGGTTGCTATGCAGGATCTATAATAGGACAAATTAAATGCACATTATAAGCATTATATGGAGGATATATGATTCCTGTAGTAGCAAGTTTTTTTTTAATAGCACATAATATGTGTCAATAACATAGTTGAATTTTTGCTTCTATCCAAACATAGTTACTAGCTGTAATTTGTCCACGGTCTTTGTCTGTTAATATCATTTCAACATTTTGAATTCATTATTTTTTAAATGCTGAAACTATTTAGTAATCGCTTAAGCTTTTCTATATAAGTATTTCGGTTCTAAAAAAAATATGACAAGGGAAATCCTGCCCCATCCATAATACTAAGAACTGCAAACAACTTAAATTTTAAATTATTTGTATCATATGTTAAATCAACAACAATTGTCTTTATAGTGTGGCTTAGTAAAATTAATAACAATGGAGTTAAAAAAGCAATTGAGGAAAAAAGAAACTCTTTCCGTCAATCACTTACACAAAACTTAACTAAAAATTCGCCAATATAAAATCCTTAATAACTCAATATTTTATTAAGATAACTGTTCCTAACATCTTAAGTAAACTTGCTCAGCTCTTAA